TGCAGTTAAAGCACATTGTGTTTGTTTCATTCCAAATCCATTGTGGTGGTGTATAGAGCCAAAGATGTTAGAATTGTGTCGGTGTCCCAATATTTCTGGACCTGACTGTATTTAACAGCAACAACAACAAAAGCCAAAAAGAAACCTTGCTTGGGACTTACAAGGATACCTCTCTCACTGTTTCTGCCCCACCTGGCAGAGGTCCCTTCGGTAGAACAGGGTCAGTGGTCGGGACCCGGGAAGGGTCCCTTCTCTGTTGCAGCACCTGCGCTCCCACGTTCCACATCCTGCCCTCCCACCCACCCAACTTTGTTCAGAAAGTCATTGAAAACTTGCTTTTATCCAAGCCTTGAGGCAGAACGATGTTTGAGTCCCTGTAGGATGTTTTGTTGTTCTTGATCTGTTTCTTTTTTTAATTTTTCTTACTTTTTAAAAATGTAAACCACCCAGAGTCATCTGGGGTCAGGCACCCCTAAACTCTATTAAATAAATAAATGATTCCTAGACACTTGGTCAGAACCTAAATCATCAGAAAAAATCCAGTCTAAAGGTACTCCCTGGATGAATAATGTCACCATTTCAGCAGCTGAAAGTCAGTTTACCACAAAATTCATTCGGCACAGGCTCAGATATCAACGGGTCTGCTGTCTATTGCATCTCTATTAGCAACAGTGTGTTCTCTAACAAGTAACATAGCAGAAAGGTCCTCAAGCCTATAAGCCTTAGATTGCCCTAGTAACTCCTATTTAGAAGGAATCAATAATCAACACAGACTTCAGCTGGTATAAATTCCTCAGTTTTCAGTTGTTTTGAGGCTCTCTGAGGACTCTACTGTAAGGAGCTGAATTTCTCCTGCCCCTCCCCCCAGCATTTCCACTTATCCAACATGGCAAGGATTAAATTAAAACAACTATCACTGTATCTTTGACTTCCAATAAAAACAACAAACATCTTTAACAAAATAAAATAATGTGGGTAAAATAAAACCACAAGAGCCAACAGATTTTATGTTCAGTCTTGTCACCTTGATGGGAAAAAGCCTTTCAGAAAATATAAAATCGTAAGGTTTTATGAAGGTCTTCAACCCCCTGCCCAGGGCAGGAATCCTCAGATCATCCCAGGCAAATGGCTGCCCAATCTTTGTCTGAAAAACTCCAGGACTGCTGAGCCAGATACCACCTATCCTGTACATTTTTTTAGGGTTTTTTTCTCCTGTCAAAGTACAAAACCTTATTATTTCTCACTACTGAACTGCATATTGTTGGATAGGTTCCAATGTTCAAGTCTACCAAGATCTGATTTCATTAATGACTTGGATAAAGAGCTTGAGGGAATGCTTATCAGATTTGCAGATTACAAATGGGATGGATAATGTCCTAAAGACTGGAATAAAATTTAAAACAATTAAAGAGGTTAAACAGGTTAAAGATATGGGCTGAAAGTAAAAATAATAAAATAAAAATTTAATAGAGGCAAATGTACGTTGGGAAAGCTCCTTTGGTAATAAGATTCAGCCTGTGGTACTGCTGCAAAAAAAGCAAACACAATTTTAGGCTACATCAGTAGAAGCACAGCTTCCAAACCATAGGAGGTAATCTTCCCATTTATTCTGTACTATGAGATCCCACCTCAAGTGTCCAGTTCTGGGCACCTGATTTCAAAGATGATTAAAGGACTGTAAACTAAATCCTAGGAAGAGGGATTGAAGGAGCCTTGAGAATATGATAGGACTCTATAAACACCTGAAAGGATGTCACCCAGAAGAAGGTCAAGAGTGGTCCCCTTAGCCAGCCATTTGGTTAGGGGTGTGTTAATGCCTGCCCTAAGCAGACGGTTAGGCTTGGTGTCCACAGTGGCCTCTTTGAAGGACCTCCTCAGCTTCTAGTTATTATGATGCTCTGTCTTCAAATGTTGTAATCTTTCTCAAGCTCCCTGCCACAGATCTCTGGCACTCCCTCCCAGAAGCCTGCCCTGCTTGCTGTTCTCTTACCTAGTGGGTCTGTTGGTGTGCCCTTAAAGATGATGCGGTATGTGGTAAGGAATACAGCTCCTTCAGCTGGAAGCAGAGGCGGCCCCCCAACACTGCCTCCAGCACCTTCTTCCCTGCCATCGGGCACGAGGTAAACACGCAGACCATCCATAACACTCTCTTCTCCAATCAGTAGACTTGGCTGGAGGAGTTTGGGCTGCGAGAAGCAAAGGGGAAGGAACCTGCTCACCTCCAGCGAGAAAGTAGATCAGCCTACTGCAATTGAGCTGCCTGCCCCACTTCTGGTGAAGCCCCTCCCCAAGATACCCACTTTTTTTTTGTTTGGGGTCAGACTAGAGATGTTCAGAGACTTGCTCTTGCAAGAGGGGGAAAGATCTCACCTTTTGTATTGGAGGGAGCCTCTTGCTTTCTCTGTGTACTGCATCCAGCGTCTCAATGTGCATTTGGACAATGTCTGGAGATTGCAGGAGAGGGAGGCAATGAGAACTGAAAGTCCCTCTCTAGGCCACACACATTCCCCTAACCACTCCCGCAAAGACAGAGCTCTCTGCTCAGCCCCTGGGGGTGGGAGATGACAGGGCACCTGCCTGGGATCATGACATGCAGCCCCTTGAGGTGTTCATTGGTGACTCCACTCTCCGTGCAGACCTTGTCCACAAAGCGGTTGATAAACCGTACCACGTAGTTTGCCACGTCAGAACTTTCGGCATCCTCAAAGCCACTTTCAGTATCATAGCTGTCTGCCACACTGCCAGCAATGCTGACAAGGAAGAGGAGGTTATGAGCACCCTGCCAAACGACCCTCTCCCACCTGCAGTCCCCCTCTGCCGTCTGAATAGCCTGGCTCAGTGGGACACTACCTGCTGGTGATTAAACTATTGCTGACACTCTCAGCATCTCCTAGTCCTGAGCCACGCAGGAGCCTGTTCTTGCTAGTGTCCAAAGGCAGCAGGAGGTAGCTCATGCGGTTGGCATAGTGAATTGCTTGGCTGAAGACTGTGCTCTCCTCCTTCTGAATCAGTTCCTGCTGTTTCTCCCGGCTCATGGTGGGCCAAAGACGGCACTGCACAGCAGCAATCTCCAGAGCTGACTCCTCCTCCTGTACCCCCTCCTGGGACCCAGGGAAAAGGCCTAGTCAGCTACCTGGAGGCAGCTGCTTCAAAAGTCCCTCCTCTCTTCTCCCTCACAGCTCAGCCCTACCTTCTCAGCACAGTCCTCCTCATTGCTCTCCACATAAAGAGCCCGGATGTGGTTCTGCACGTCACTGTAGAACATGGCTTCCCAAAACTGAAGGTTGGTCCAAACCAGGTGCTCCTGCACACAGCTGTAAGCAAACTGGGTAATTCCTGGGCTGAGTTTCTGGAGGGGGGGGCAAAGAAAAAAAAAGAAATGCTTTGAGTGGAGGCTACCCATCTTTCTTCCCTTGGCCATCACAACCCCACTAAAGCCTGCCCTGCTACTTACGCGGCAAAAGGCAGTGACCAGGGGCAGAAGTGCAGCAGCAACCCCATGCTCATCCGTGGCACTGCAATCCTGTGGAGATACAGAACAATGCTATGGTTCTCCCCCAAGGAAACGGGGGGGGGGGCGCTGCCCAGATCTCTAGCCATACCTGCAAGCAGCAGTTCATCATGCGGACAATGAAGTCAAACTGCTGATGGTCCAGCATGGCTCTGTTCTGCTGCACGTGGAGGTTCAGCTCCTGGGTGAGACACTGGCGAGCTGCCCGACTCTTCATGGCTCGGAGCACAGCCGGGAGAAGCTGCAAGGCAACAGGGCAGTACTCAGGAGAGACCTTGAATTTTCCCAGCCTGCCCTGCTCTGGATAAGCCCAACTCATGGAGGACCAGGAGAGAAAAGGGGTTCCTTTACTGCAGGCAAAGAGAGACCATCCTCTTGACAGTAAGAGTGGGGGAACCTGCTTTGAGAGGCGCTGCCTCTTTCATGCCTGCCGAGAGAACTCTCACCACCACCTTGTGAGTTCCTGGGGGAGCAGCCAAGTGGCCTGTATTCTGGGGATTCTGAACCTTATACTGCAGATCAGAGGAAAGGGATCTAACAACTGGTCTGGGTTACATTTCAAGCCTCCGTTTTACAGATAATGGATGCTCTTATCTTTTTTCTTTATATAATGAAAGTATTTGGTGTAAAATGCACACTAACATTACATACTGATATTGAAAAATCCCGACCTTGTTAATCTCTTGGTTTAGATCCTACACGGGGGGGTGGGGGCGGGTTGTCATGTCCCAAGGAGGCCCACCAAGCTCTCACCTTTTTGGCTTCCAACATCTTACTTTCAAAGACAAAGGAGATGCAGTTCCTGACCACCTCCAATCGACGAGCACTGTTGGCCAGCAGCATCCCGTTCCGCTCCATGAGGGTTCCTGAAAGGGGGGAGAGGAAGCAAGTATCTGTCTGAAGACACTGGGAAAACTACCACCCACTCCCTCATGTCAGCCTTCATGGATTCATCTGTGCCAAAACTGGGCAAGGGAGCGGCCAACATCCCTCACCTCACCCAGACCAAAGGGGTGTTCAAGAGCATCCTTGTTTCGCTGATCTCTGGAACCTCATCATTTGAGCTGCTCTTTCCTGCAGCTTTTCCAGCTCCACAACATCCTTTTTCTGGTCACAGCACCTCAAAAAGGACACTGCAGAGCTGGAAAAGATGCAGAAAGAGGCAACCAGAAAGGTTAGGAGGCTAGAGCGGCTCCTCTGGGAGGAAGAGTTAGGTAATGCAGAGCTTTCAGACTCAGAATGAAGGTAGGGGAAGTGAAACCAGGTCATTAAAAAGTCATCCATGTGGCAGAAAATGTGGGTGGAACCAGAGGCCATCTACTGAATTTGCTGCCACCAAATCTAGACAAGGGAGAATTGGGAATAGTCCGGATGGTGGCACCCCATCTCCTAAGAGAGGGGCATCTGCTGAGGAGCTGTAGTAGCACTGGGCAATTTCTCTCCTGGCCACGGTGGACTTCTTGAATGGGTGTGGTGGCCACAATAGGATCCAGAAGGCTGGATGGTCTTTGGCTGGATCCTGTCTCAGGGCTCTTATCTTCTTATTAAACACTGCATGAGTTGTCCAAAGGGAAGGCGAGGGCAAGAAGGGGGGCCTCTGAAACCTATCCTGCATGCAGAAGCTAAAGTCAACCATCCCTTTCAGGACTTGGGAGCCTGTGACACATCAATTTATGTTTTACATTTATATCCTGCCTTTTTCAGGTACTCAAGGTGGTATATGCAGCACTGCCTCTCCTATTTTTCCCCACAACAAAACTGTGAGGTAGGCTGGGCTGAGAGAATAAGTGAGTGACCAGCCAAGGTCACCCAGAGGGCTTCCTGATTCTCCCCAGTGCCCCTCCAACATCTTAAACACATCGTTATTTATTTATTATAGCTGCCCGCTCCTATAGTCTCTGTATGTAGTACTTGGTCAAAGAGAAACAAAGAGAAACTTGTTTATCACTCCTGCTTGCAGATTTCTCCAACCCCTAGCTGTCCCCGTGCAGAGAAACAGACCATGCTACCTCAAGGCTGCAACAGTCTCAGCACCAGCACATTATTAGCACACACATACCCAGGGGTGGCCCAGATGGCACCATGGCTTTCTTCTCTGCCTTTACCAAAGGAGGTGCTGTTTGCTGTTTTGCTGTGGCCTGGTCAACAATCCACTGGATGGTCCCTTCATCCAAATGGGGGAATGGCTTTTGGTGCAGACGCAGGTGACAGCCCTCCGTGGGCTTCTGCACCTTATGCATTGTCACTGCTGGATAAGGGTTCTCCTGGACCAACAAAGGCACAGACAGAGTCACCAAGCAGGAACACACAGTCCATACAGCCAATGCAAAATCTGTACGTAAAGCATCCCTGATGGACAGCAGCCAGCCTGTTCTAGGACCAAGGCTCATCATCACCAAACAAGTTGGGCTCTAAGAAGTTTCTCCAAAGGCCCAGTCAAAATTGGCATCTCTCCATTTTCCTCCTGCCCTCTGCTGCAACAGAATCCGCTGGGCTTCACTTTTTACATGACAGTATCTGCTTGACAAGACCTGCCTAAGCAAGCATATGGGTGCACGGCTGAATGCCAGAAAAGCAACCTGCTGATTCGGGGGTGGGGAGGAAGGAATCCCAGCCAAGTGCCTAGGTGATGTAGGCACTGCACTCTCTGCCCAGTCCCAGTCCTCAAATCTGGAACAAAAGAGGGAACGCTGCTCTCCGGAGGCAATTCAATGGCTGCCTCCAGTGTTTGCACACACATACTTTCTTATACCCAGATGCACATAGGCATACATTTTTGTACAGCTGTTCTGCTAGTTCCTTGATGTGCCGCAGAATCTTAGCCTTGTTTCCTTCATCAGCCTGCATCCGTTTTGCTTCACTGGCCACAAGCTAAGAAATGAGAAAGAAGGAAGAATTCTTTTTTTTAAAAAAAGCACTCTAACACCCCCTCCCAATTAGCCGGAAGATATGGTACACTACAGGGTTGAACTGCCTTCCCCAATGACCTCTCACCTCATCAAATAAGTCGGTCTCCCGGTAGGGGGGGCCCCTCTCGGTCACAAAACCAGCAAACGCCATACCCTCCAGTACCTTGGGAAGGAAGTCATCTTCCACCAGCCCTCTCTGTCCAAGAAAGGCTGCCTAGAGCAAGGGAGAGAAAATTATCATGCAGCACCTTCCTCAGGGTGCCTGTGCTTTTGGGGTAGGCCACAGGCCAGAGTTTCCCCCAGTCAAGCACTACCCTGAGAAACAATCCAGGAGAAAGGGACAGCGGCATTCACTGCACTGGCTGAGAAAAGGACCGTTCTTCCCTCTACAGCCTTCTCAGTGGGAGGACTCAGGGCATCAGGCCACACAGGCACTTCTGGAAGAGCTGGACCCAGTCCCAGCTCAGGATGTGGGAACTTCAATTCCTGATGAAAGAAAATCTTTTTTCCCATCCTGCTGGGCATGGGTTACCAGTTTGTTTCTGGGTCCAAACCTTGGTTATGTCAACAGGCCTGGGGACCCCAGGGGATGGGTGAGCTAGTGAGGTGGCTCCATTATTATTAACATCCCTTTGCCTGCTTTTGTTTTAGCTCAGTTCTTATAGCTTTTGATGTTTTAATAGTTACTAATTAGAGTGGTTTTTAGGTATTTATTACTGATTTAACTTTGTTGTAAGCTGCCCAGAGCTGCTTGTAAAAGTGATATGGGCAGCTATATAAATTGGATAAATAAAATAAAAATAAATAAAACATAATACTGGAACCCGATTTGGAACTTCATCACCTGTACGATTCTTCCTGTTCATAAGTGTCGGAAGACCGGGTTATTTTACTGCTAAAGGCTGCTCTGAACAAAATTTCTACACTGGGTAGACAAGAGAGAATTCACCTTCCTGGGTGCAGGTGGCCAGCCTGGCTCTGCCAACTCCCCTCCACAGCCTTACCTTGTGGAAGCGAATGACTGGCTCCGGGTGAATGCGGATGATGTGCAGGCACCAGCGGTAGCCCTGGAGCAACTGAGCAAATAGGCGGAGGAAGACTGCCCGGATCTCCTTATCCTACAGCCAAACAGGCAAGTGAGGAGAGAAACATCAGGGACAAACAAGGCCGCTGAGTGGCGAGGCTCGGGGCATCAACCACAGTCCTGGCTGCCTGCTCCCGAAAGTCACTGCAACCTGCAGCACTTTGTAACCATGCCCCTTTTGCAGAGCTGTAACCCGTCCAGCATCCCTGCAACCCAGCCTGTCTCCTGAGGCTACGGAACACTCGGGACAGCTCCCAAAAGTCGAGCCAGCCAGCCCTTCTATAGCTTACACCCATTTACCTGCATCTTGAGGGAGGAAGCAGAGATGGTGGATGGTGGGAAGGCCAGATCTGCCATCTCCAACTCCGGGTCCAAGACCTGCTCAAACAAAGTCAATGATCCATTCAAATTGGGAAGGGTCTCCATTTACCTCTCTCCAGGGGCACAACTTGTAAAGCAAATGCAACTTCCCCTCGAAAAGAACCAGATTTGAGGTTGTGCAGAGGATAAAAGAGCAGAAACCGTGGGCATGTTTTTACAGGCAGCAGAAGAGGAGCCACCTTGTATTTTGACCATGCTATTTCAGATTGTGGAGAAGGAACTCACATGAACGAAAACCTCCCTTAAAAGAAAACTGGAAGAGTTCTACCTCAGCCTTCCTGCCAAAAACTAATTTTCCACAGAAAGGGAATGATTTCCATTCCATTTTGTGAGTCTTCATTAGCAATCTGAAAAGATATGTTCAAGATGCAGGGGCAGCTCTGCTAACCTGGGGAATTAGGCCTCTATGAGCAACCATGAAAAAAACCAAATGACTTGCTGTGACACTTCGTCTAAAACCCCACCACACAGATTCACTCAAATACCGAGAGTCAAATTAAGCTCCAGTATTAAGAAGTGGAAGAACTCTTACTGGAGCCTTGAGGCTCCATCACCAGAGGTTTTCAAAGAAAGGTTGGACAGCCCTTGGTCTAGGATGGTCTGAGGATCCCTGCCATGGATGGGGAGTTGGACTGAAAGACCTCCAAGCTCCCTTCTAACCCCAGGATTCTATGACATGGAAGGTGTCAGGATTTTCTTTCTCATGGGAAAGGATTCATCCCGTTATCTTTACAACAATAACA